GAAGGAGATGGTTCAAAAATATAACAAAGCATGTTCCGATCTTTTGTCTCTTTGTAAAATTGATAAATTGAAAGTGTTAGATGCAGCTAGCGACATGCTCGAACCTGGAGGCCCCAAGTTTTTAGACGTTGAAATAAACAAACCAGAAATGAAGAGGAACTTTAAATGGGATGAAGACAATATTAGTGAATTTTTAGACTTAACAAAGAAGACTTACAGCTATTGGAAAACTCTATGGTCTTTGTATAACAATTTTCCATGATGTTGAATGTGATTTAGTTATGGTTTGGTATTTTGAATTTTTTACAGTAGCAAGATAGACTTTTGAACACTCATATGCTATTTATCACTCAGTTTTTATTTTTTGTTTGTAAATATTTTTTCAATTTGACCTGGAAACCATTATAAGTAAGTATACGATTTTTAGTAAATCAAGATTTGTTTATAGGTTATTTTTTCATTGTAAATTAATTTGTCCCACCAAGCCATAAAAGTGCCCAAGACTTAGATTGCCTCCATCTTTTGATCTTTGATACTTGATTATAGCATGATGTGTTCCGTAAATTAATATGTCCGAAAACTATAAATTCTATAAAGTGATCAACTATACTGACAATTTAAAATATTCATTTTTTGTATCGCCTTCCAGATTACTTAACAACTAATTATGTACAAAAGGCCAAGTAATACTCGAGTCGTCTATATGATGACTGATTTTGACGCCCATGGCATCCTTTCTAAGCTTCCTCCTGTTTGAAAATGACAACATAGGCGTGAACCGGTTGCCATATAGACGACTCAAGATTTACTTGGACAGAAAAAGCTAACTTCAGCTCTTGTAAATAATTAAATAAAAAAAAACAGTGTTTTGTTAAAAGTTGTAAGGACTTTTATCTTTTTTCTTGTACTCTGTTAGCTGTTTAAAGTAGGTTTTTACGTTATGCCCAATTATATACCAGCGTTATATTAGTAAAAATCGTAAGATAGTAGTTTTAAAGGTAAAATTTTCAATTTAACACTATTTATGTTAAACACTATTTATATTGAAAGTGTACATATTCATTTTAAATTTGAGCAATGTTTTTGTAATCAAATTTGTATGTATGATAAAGACTCAATAAGACTCAATAAGAGTCTTATTGAGTCTTTAAGACTCAATATAATAAGACTCAATAAGAATTTATTAATGCCATTAAACTTAGTACAGTAATAGGCAACGTCAAACAGTACAACAAATAGGGTTGTATGTAGCATTTTTGAGTGTTTCAACTTAGATACTACTTTATCCACATGACATTGATGGCTTAACTTACAAGTTTAAAAAATCTTCTACAGTGTAAAAGGCATTTGTTTTTAAGAATGTCATTACATACGATTTAAAATTGTTTACAGACAGAGTTCTAATTTCTAATGGTAACTTATTGAACAATAGATACTGTTGATAATGGTAACTTTTGAAGGTTTTACTTAATCTAATATAAGGTGTAACAATATTGTGCTTAGTTCTAGTGTTGTGGTGATGATTGCTGTCCTGCATGGGAAAGTTAACTAAATTTTCTTTTACATACATAAGGTTGGAAAAAATATACAGTGATGGCAAAGTTAAAATATTGAGCTGAATAAAACTAGGTTTACAAGATTCACGTTTAGTAAGACCCATAATAGTCCTGATAGCTTTTTTTTTGCCAAGTGAATATTTTGTTGGAGGCAGCAGAGTTTCCCCACAAACGAATTCCATAGCTAATTTGTGAGTGGAAGAGACTAAAATATGTCATCCGAAGAACTTCTAAGCTGACACTATGCTTAAGCTTTCTTAACAGGTGGACAATACGAGACAGCTTTTTAGAAAGTTGAGAAACATGTTCTTCCCAAGTCAATTTACTATCTAGATACATACCAAGGAGTTTGACAGGTTTAGTGAGGTTATTGCACAGTTGATTTTTCAAGGAAAAGTACAGGAATTCGGTTTTATCTTCATTTAAGGTTAGATTGTTGGCTGAGTACCATGACTTTGCGGTTGACAAGGCATTGTTGAGTTGAGTTTTTACATCAAATTCAGTTTTAGCAGACACTACAAAAGTTGTGTCATCAGCATACAACACACTCAGAACTGGAATATTGCAACTAAAATCGTTTACAAAAACAAGAAACAAAAAAGGCCCTAAAATGGAGCCTTGGGGAACGCCAGTCGTTACATTAAGCATTTCAGAAGCATTTCAAAGCTTAGTACTTATAAGAAAGTTTGTTTCCTGATTCCATTGAAACATAAAAAACATAATAATCGTGACAAACGTATACAATCGTACAACATGAAAACATTTAAAAAACCTATATTGGCCTAATTTGGAAATCATGTTTTTGTGGTAGAATTTTTAATTTTTAGTCATTGAGTTGTGACCTTTTATAATTTATTTTTTCTCTATATTTTAAGCTGATAATCCTGATAACTTTTTTTAAATGGCATCACAGTTAGGAGCTGTAAACAGGAATGAAGATTAGTATATGATAAATATAATTCCCTATTTATATTGAGGAGTCCAATTTGATTAACCCAATCTGTGGAGGATGGACAATTAGTTTTTTTTAAGATTAATGATATGGATAGAAGGTAGACTATTTGTAAATACAGTATTCCTGCTACTCCTCCAAAGACATGCAATGGATGAACAGGCAAACATAAAGTATTTTAAATTATTGCAATGGAGTAAGATTAATCCAATTTACTAAATGTTTCAATTGATTACTATTATATCATTAAAAATAAAAACAAAACAAAAAAAAAACACATTGCCTGGCCTTGAGTAAGAGGCATGCAAATGAAATACTTCTATTTAAATACATAAAAAATACAGTTTTTTAAGAAGTTTTTTTACATCAATGCTAATTTTTTTGGTATTTTAGAGAGTAAATTTGTTTAGTATTACCCAATAACATTTCTGAAAGTCACTTCATCTACTGTGTTTACCCATAAGATAGACCATAAGTTAAACCAATTAGCAATGAACACAACTATTAGCACATCCGAAAAACCCACATGTAACACCGTTGACCTTTATAAAGGAGATTTGGATCTCATAATGTGATTCTCGATGTAAACACTACTAGCGACAGAATGTGATTTGGACTAAGCTAAACGCTTTCTTGCTTTCTTTCCCATCAGAATGTCAAGCCTGACAATATGCAAATGGACAGTTTTAGTCTTCTTTGTCAACTCCTACGATTCTGTTAGTGCCTCGATAGAAACCGAGGAGCTCGAAGGACTCCCAAAATACGGCCTCGAGGCAGGCCGATTAGACATAAACATAACAGATCTAGAAAAAAACATAGAGAAAGTTTGTGAAAGATTGAGAAAACTCGATGACATTTTGACCAAGATGTATGAAGATCCACCGACTGACGGGGGAAATGAGTTTATGAGACTTTCGCGCACGTTTAACAAAGCTTCGTTGGATTTGTTGTATTTGTGTTCATTAAATAAGCACAAAGCGCTCAAGGCTGCGCAGGACATGGTGGAGAGAGGAGGGCCGAAGTTCCTTGAGGTGGATGTGGACGATGAGTTGATAGAGGAACGATTCAAGTGGAACGGAGACGCGGTGGATCACATGCATATAGTGAGGAAACACACACGGGAACATTGGTATGACCTTTGGCATTTGTACAGCAGTTTACCTTGATTTACATGTATTTTACGAACTATCTATTTATTCTTACAGCCATTCGTGCTTGGTTATGTTCCCACTTATCTAAGTTTCTTATTTATGTTAGTAAATCCATTATTTGCTGATAAAATGCTTCCACCTTAGCACAAAGAAGCAGGCCCGAGTTTACGCCTGCGCTGAATTTGAAATGTTACGCTGAAATGTTACGCTGAATTTAATTGTCAGTGTTCTGAGCTGCCAACAGTTTTAGCACCCTTCCTTAGAGAGTTTTTCAATAAAAGTAGCTGAAAAGAGTTTTTACTATTCGGAAGTGAAAATATTGATTAAAATTTGCGTAATTTAGTATTTTTTATCAAACTAATCAAAATTATAAATTTTAGCTATAGCCTAGTCAGCCCATATACAAAGTTGGGCCTGCAAAGAAGTAGACCTCATTTGTGTTTTAAAATAAAATATTTACTTGACTTGAAACAAACAATTTTTATATTGAAATTTTGAAAGGTGAAATTGGAAATAGGATGAGCTCTCTGTCTCATCCACACGTTTGTTTCTCAATCTCAATTTTTTTGCCATTTTTATCAAATTTCTCTTATATAATTACAACTGTGCTTTTATATAAAAAGAAAAGTAAAAAAATATGAGAAAGTATTTATTTTGTATGGATTTAACTCTTTCCATCAGTATAGTTTTCGTTGTTGTTGAGTTCCTTGTTAAGGAGTGTAAAAGTGTACCTAAGATAAAGCACAAAATGTAATTTATCGGATGCATTTGTAAATGATTCCTGGTATAACTACTAGTTTTTTTTTTCAAAATTCTTAAAAACCTGTTATTAAGAACAAGAATTTAAAACTATTTTAGGAAAATATTAAATTGTAATTTCGTATTAATATTTAGGACTGCATAATTGGATAGGTACTTTTTTTACCAAAATCTGCTGTTTAAAGAAATTGGGAATAAAGGTTTATTATCTCTTATGAAAATGTCTAAAATGTCTCTTATGTTTATTAATATTAAAATAAGTATTTGTCTGTGTTTCATAACTTTACACACATGGCTTAAAATTAAGTAATTGGTCTTGCTTGTAAACATTAAAGACTGATGGAGATAAAACACAGAAGCTATTAAGATGATATCAGCGAGCTCAAACAAACTTTATACAATTAACTGTTTCTAAAACCAATAAATAAAAAACAATGTGTGCCCATAAGTGATCATATTTATAATTTTTAGTAGTTTTTGCTGTATCTACTTCAGTAAGGAAAGTGAAATCAAATGGCAGGTCACAACAAGTTTTCTAAAATAAAAAGAAAAAAAGCACTTTTGGATATAAAAAGAAGTAAAATGTTTTCCAAAATAATCCGCGAGATAACAGTTGCAGCAGCTCGAGGCGGAATCGACCCAAAATTCAACCCGAGATTACGACTTGCGATCTTGTCCGGAAAAGAAGCCAACTTGCCGAAAGTCAGAATAGACGAAGCGATAAAGAAGGCCTCTTCCCCAACTGACACCAGTCTCTACAAGGAAGTGAAGTACGAAGGTTACGCTGCTTCCGGCGTCGCAGTCATTGTTGAGACTCTCACAAACAACAAGAACCGAACAGTCCAAGCAATCCGCTCGACATTCACCAAGTACGGCGGAGCCCTGGGAGAAAACGGCTCAGTGAGTTTCATGTTCAAAAACATGGGACTTATAACATATCCGAAAGAAACAAAAAGTGCAGACGAAATGATGGATCTTGCGATCGAAGCGGGTGCAGAGGATTGTCAGCTTGTAGAAGATGAACATGAAATATTGTGCAACATGGAGAACTTTCATACGGTCAGAGAGTTTCTAGAAAAGAATTTGGGTGAAGCGAGCAGTGCAAAGTTGATCTGGAAACCTAATAGCACTTTGACCTTGGACCATGAGAAAACTACGAAAGTGCTGAAACTATTGGACGTGTTGGAAGATCTCGATGATGTTCAGAATGTGTGGTCGAATATAGATATTCCGGATGATTTTAATATAGATGAGATATAACGGTTTCCATCTTCTTTATCCTGCTTGAAAAATTCTGGGAATTTTTTTTAACTACTTTCGCTGTATCCTCAAAGTTTGGTGGTATTTAAGGTAAACAATCCAAACAGATCCCTTGATAAATTCTGAATACAAACAAAGTTCTGACAAGTTTCAAACATTCTAAAGGATGAGTAAGGATGTAAAATAACCTGAACTGAGCTCCCTTGACATTAGTAAATTATATAATTATATAATAATGTCAGGGTGCTCAGTTGTGTTTAACTTTCTACTTTAATATATATGAAGCTCTATTTCATGAACACCAATTTCAAAATTAAAGGATGCTGTTTTCAACAGTAGTTGCTATTATTTGTGCAGGGATAAGCATTTCATTTTCTGATCAACGAAATGCTAAGAATACCTTCAGACAACGAATTGGCATTAAATAATTATTTTTTTTTATGAACATGTAATCACAGTTTTGTTTTCACAGTAATGCTCTTGAATTATTATTATTATTATTACCAGTTGAGCTGGAGACACCACCCATACCAGGTGCGTATTTTAACCAATAAATAAGTGAAGGATGAGTACAGAATGAAGAATGCTGCTCAAAATTGATTGGATCAAGTAGGGGGGTTTTATCCCTCATAAGTTTATCCACAGGTAACTTTTTTACCAGCCAAAATTCTATGTTGTAAGGTTTTGTACAACATACTTCTGAGGGAGTTGGGGAGTTGCCTACACTGCATACCTCTCTTCAATTTTTCTTTGACATGAAAGTATTAGGTACTCAGAGACAAAATGCTACTTCAGTATGTTAGAAATTGTTTTCTTTATAGATTATCCTGAAAGGGACAATTAAAATAAATCAACTAAATACGATAGATGAACCTGTATTGGCAATAAATGTCAGGATTTTGACTGTTTCCTTACAATAAACATTGAAAATGCTGAAGGCAAGGTATACACAGAAAAAGGGGTACAATAGAAATTACAATTTTCTCGAGTAACCCTTTCCACAAAAGTTTCATAATCAGCCATTCAGCCACATGGCAAGCTAAAAATAAATCACAACAAGGAAAGATGACATTTGTCAACCACTAATGTCAACATTGTTATATAACCTCCACAGATCGAACCAGAGAGCATTAGTCTTTTTCCTGGCGTGCAGCATTTCTTCCAAAGTTGTCTTGTCCCACTCAAACTTTTGCATTATGACTTGTTCGTTCACTGCTTCATCCACAAACTCAGGACCACCTCGTTCAAACAAATCATTTCCCACTTTGAAAGCCTTGGACTTTTCATTTGCATCACTTTTACAAAGCTCCAACAGATGAAAACAAGCTTGATTGTAAGTCCGCAACTGTTTCATCAATTCCTCTCCACCTTTCATTGGTGGATCTTTGCTCAGTTGGGTTAGAGTCTTTTCAAGAGATCTCATTGTATCACATAAACTGGTTACATCTTTTTTAGGTACTAAATCGCCTTCCTTCTCATCAATTGCGATAGGGAATCTCCCATAAACTATGTGAAGAAAAGTTAGTAAAAAAGTGTTTAAAGTCAGTCTGTAAATACTCATAATTTAAGATCTAATGTAATTTAGTTGGAAAGTTTTATCATCAAAATACAATATATTGAACCCCCATTAAATGTAGCAGAGGTTTCAAGAGCACTAAGTTTAAGTCTCTCTATTTAAGTATATTTACCAAATAAGTCATTTAATATCTTATAAAACTTAAAATTAGATTGTATCCATTATTGATAGAGGTATACCTGTGCTCATTAACATAAACCAGACGTTTACATCCAAACATTATTTTGAAACAAATAATACTATAAATTAAGTCCAGTCTTATCAAACGATCAAAGTATGACACCCTAGGAACACAAACAATGTGTGACAGTGATGATGACATATCGGAAAATTTTAGAAATTGGAGTGTTTTTTGTGTGCCTGTGTCTTGTTGTTAGCAGTCAACGTTTGGGAGAGCAGCTGTTTACGGCAGATCGTAACATTACACTTCTCGTGCGAACACCACAAAAGGGGGAAGGAGGAAAACTGCTAAGACATATGGTAACCTACCTTCGATTGATCGGTACGCTGATCGTCCGAGTCAGCAAACGAGTGGAACACGCTAGAAGAGCTGCGCGATACCTTTACAAACACGAGGGTCCTAAGTTCCTTCGAGTGAAGTTCTCGGAAGATAAACTCGTCAATGTTTACGATTGGTCATTAGTTGAACTAAGACACTTCCGGTTTCTCAAATCGGAAACTGTGAGTGAATTTGAACTGTTTTGCAAGTGTTATAAGAGTAATTTGGTGTGGTTTTTATAGTGAATGTGTTCTATATGTATTTGTTTCTAATTCTTGTATTTTCTTTACTGTGAATATAACTCTAAACTAATTTGTATTTCATTTACAAAACTGAGTGAAAACTTTTTTTCTGATTGTGGAATATCACCAATACCTCAAATAATATAATTTACTCTCCCCAAGAATGAAACTCAAACTTATTTCTATCCTATTGGCAAACCACCCTTCTCAATGCCAAGTGTTTGCTGTTCCTAACAGGAAAAAACCAAAATATAGGCTAGAAGACTACTGCTTTTTCTCGAATGATGGATACTGATGAATAATGCTCTATGATAAGAAATACCTAATTCTAAGTTCATAGTAATAAACTGTGTTTTCATGTTCTGTCAATGGCGTTATTAAGCTATCCATGCATGTTTTACTCAAAATTAAAATACTGGTTGGGGCAGAGAATTTGATATTAAAACCATATTGATTGTTGATATTGGATTTTTACAATTCTCTAAAACATCTACATTAAAATCAACTCTGCTATGGAAATATTCGTTAGTATTTTTTGTTTATAGTACTTTTTTAACCCTCAAACTTTTGAGAAACACTAATAAAAATAAACTAGAGGTATGATAGATCTACCCCACGTATCAAATTTCAAAAGATGTGGTCTGTAGCTCTGTACACATGGTCCACACACAAACACCAAAATTTTTAATTTTATGAAAAATATTACACAATCAAAACAACAAAAAGTGGCCAACAGCTTGCATGGCAGTGAGGGGTATTTTGACTGAAATAAGTTTGCATGTCTTAAAAGAATATTCCTCCAGATAGACAAAGAATAAAAATATACAAACTTGAAGTACTAAAAGAAGTAATACTTTTTTAAATAAAGCCAAGTGGAAAACTCTAAATAAAAGGCAAAGAATTGAAGATTTTACTGCCCTAGCAATTATAAATGAAAGACAAAACCCTAAAATAACTTACTCAACAATCAAAACAGCTGATATACAATCAGCTGATCTCCAAGATAACATGTAGTCAGAGTACAGGGAAAATGAAGCTCGCTCTGGTAGCAGAGTTGCTGCTTCTCGGAGTGTTTGTGATGAACCTCGCGGACCAAGACGGGGACAACTCAGCAGCAGTTTGCGACCAAGTAGCACAAGCGGACAACCAGGTGTGCCAACTGTTAGAAACACCACTCTACGAAAACCGAGAGAAGATATTCCCGAGCATCAAGAAATACTTGGAGAAACTAGACATGCTCGTCAAACGTATCCACGCAGACAAACAGGAGGTGCAAGAAACTCCGGCTTGTAAGGAACTCATCGACGATAAACCAACCGGGTCTAAGTATATGACGATAACTTTTGAATTCTACAAACTAATGGAAGGGTTCAACTGGACGAAGACGGACATGAGTGAATACCTTGATCTGAGAAGATCTACAATGGACATGTGGCAAACTATTGATAATCTGATTGAGTAAATATGTTATTAAATAGTTTATGTTAAATAATTACCTTAAATAATACCTTTGAGTACTTTTTTAGATATTTAGTTGATTCAGTGAAAATTAGGATGGTAGACGTGAGTGTAATATAAATAGTATTGTATCTACTCTTTAATGTCCAAGTGTTGTTAGGTCCATTTATAACACTGTAAAGCTATAATGATATATTATATAACTCCAGTTGCATAAACAAAAATTATGTGGTGATGTTAGGCCCAAATATATTGGAACTAGAAATATGGATCCTAGAATTATTTTTATTATAAGGTAAAACTATGTTACTAAATTTGTAGTCAATTTCATTATTGTTACAATTCCCTCACACATCCTTCAGAAATTTTAAAGTTAATAACTTATTCTTATTCAGGGGTATTCTAATTTTTATAAGTAGTAAGTAAATTAAAAAATTTTGTCATATATTTGAAAATATTTTTCTTTTGCTTGAACGTTAGACTTAAAATTTAGTGGTTTCCCCAGTTAAACTCCAACAAATCTTTAACTTTTATAATTAATAACAAAAATTACAAACATAGGTTAAAATTAAAATCTGAATCAAAATCAAGCAATGAGTGGTTAAACAATTAGTTACAAAAATAGCAACTTTCTTAATGTTGTAGAGATGAAAACTAATTAGAGATGAGCTATAAATATGTTTCTACAATTAGAGCCAAGTGTTGACAGTTAACCAGACTTAGGATTTAAAACTGTTTACATGCCAGTGTAAGGTTAGTATACTTTATGATTATTTTTATGTGGGCTATCATGTTGTATGTTTGTTCAAAATTCATATTCATTTGTACTTTATGAAAAAAATATACGTTTAACATCTGATGTAAACCATGCAGAAATGTTAAATCAATAAAACAAAATAATGAGAGTTTATTGTGAAAAATATAATTAAAATATTGCATGATTTGTATGCTTAACATTTAACATTCAATATATGTTGTTCTTCAGTACCAAATTTTCAGAATCACATGCGATTAATTTCCGTCTTAACCTTTGAAACTATCTCAGACAGCAATCTTGATATAGTGATGACAATCGAACCCACATTTTAAAATGAAACAGTTAAATAGTGTGTTCATACTTCTAACCGTACTAGTCATTAATATTGCCAACGAGCCCAACGAAGACGAAATAAACAAGATATGCAACGAGGTGAAAAAAAGAGACGACATACTTGTTAAAGATTTCCAAAACTTATCGTTTGACGAGAGGGACAAGATTTTCCCTCACATGAAAAACTACATTGACGCAATGGAAGAGTTTGTCAAATGTTATGAAAACAATCCGCAAGAAACAACAAAACTTTGTAAAGATGTTATTGACGAAGGTGGGCCGAAATATATGAATCTTCCTTACGATTTGGAGGTTATCCAGAGTAGGTTCAACTGGACAGAAGAGGATACAGAGGAGTTGTACTCACTGCGGAAAAAGACTTTAGACGTTTGGTGGGACCTGGATAACCTTCAACCTGCAGAGGACTATGTGCAGATGACGAGTAGGACTACGTGGTTTTAGACTCGGAAAAAATCTATGTGTGGTGACTCCCGCAAACCTTTTCCCCACAAGGTTTTTTAAATGATGTTCTGTGAACTGACGGATGATAGTGTGTTTTTACACAAATAACTTTTAATTTATTATAAGACTTCTTCAAAACAAATTGGTTTATTAGCTAGGATTTATGTTGTGACTAGGTTATGTGACTTGTGAAAACATATCTAAATGGTGAAGTTATTTAGAGGCAATATATGGAACTGGAAATATCTTTACATAGTAAAGCAGTTTAACATCAATTTTTCTTTTCCAATTGGTTTTAAAAATTAACATACAAAAGAAAAAAACTTCAATACCGCTGACATTATATTTTAAATATTTTTTATCTCTATTATTGGTTCTGTTTAAGCATCCTAATTGGACAGTCAGGTTTTTGTATACCAATATTATAAAAAGTATAAGAGCTAAGGACAGGGGAGACGGGGGTAGAAAATGTTATTTTGAGGAGGGGAAGGTGGAAAGACCTTTTCAAGAAGATTTGGTTGTCTAACAATAGATATAAAGTAATAGGCCTTAACTGGTTTTTATTAGAGAAAAACAGCAATCCAGATAACGTTTATAAGTTACCTTGAATAAGTGTAATTAAAACAGAAATGTCAACAGTTAATTGCAGTTATTAGAGTGCAGATTAACGATGTAAACACAGATAACAACACACAATCAGATATTCCCTAGAATGAGGTTGTAAGTAGTATGGTTTCTGATTGTTTAAGTGATGTAATATGATCGTCATTGTTTCAATCCTCGCTTTCAACTTAGCTATAAGTTTAACAACAGCAGAACTTGACACTTCTTACATTCAGACAGTTTGCGATCGTGTCCGCTCGGTTGACAGCTCGATTTTGAAACACATTGAAAATTTGGCAGCAGTCGATAGAAATGAATTTCTGAATGACATGAGATCATACGTCCAAGCTATTCGTAACTTCGACTCGTGTTTAGACCAAGATAAAGAAACTACTGTGAACCTCGCCCAAGATATTTTGGAAGAGGAGGGGCCCAAGTTTTACTACCATTACGATCCCGAGTTCATCCAAAACACTCTGAATTGGAGCGAGTCGGAAATGGACGAGTGTAACCAGCTGCAAAAACAGGCGGTCGATGTTTGGATTGAAATTGACCAAAAGGTATCAGGGAATTAACATTTTGAATGATAGCGATAAAATAATTTATTGATTGCTGTATTTTTATTAATTAGGTACCTATAAAACTTCATCATCATAATTGATTGTCACTTATTATTTTTTTGTAAAATATCATGTTGAGTGAAGAATAATTAACAACATACACAACACAATAGAATAATTAACATTAACTTGGGTGACGCTGTCAATCCCACATTGTGGGTAAAAGACGAAGAAGGAGGTACAGTAGAACCTCTTTAATCCGAACCCCCGTAATCCGAACGTCCACTAATCCGAACACCTCATTGCTGTACTTTATCCATAGTACAGTAGTTCTATATTGTATACTGTATTTAATGTACAGTACT